GTCGCCCTTGGTCTCAGTGTGTTCCTCCATGGCATCTGTGACCACCACAGTTGCTTTGTCGCCCTTGGTCTCGGTGCGTTCCTCCATGGCATCCGTGGCCATGCCTGCATTACCACCTGCAGAGTCCCCTCTTCGGGTCTCACCTACGACTGCCCCCCCTGTCTCTGCTTCAGCCACTTCACCACCATTGACTTCATCCCCCCCGTCTTCACCACCTATATTTCCCCTGGTTTTATCGTCGTTTGTTACCCACCTTCCGACAACTCTACCACCCCTGTCTTCACCATTCCTACCTCCCCTGGTTTTATCTTCATCCGTTGCCCCTCTTCCTAATCCACAAACCATTTCGTCCACACAAACTCCGTCATCATGTTCTGCCCTTGCAGAAAGCCTGCTTCGCCGTCCTAGACGCCGACTTCGGCCTACTTCCCAACCTCAGCTTCCTCCCCTTTCCTCCATCTTTGTTCTTGGACGAAAAAGAACCCGTTCATTCTCCCCACCACGGCCCTCCCCAACATCCCGTCCTCGTCTTTTGCCACCCCAAGCATCCTTACCACGCCTGCAACGCTCTTCGACTGCAGACCTTTCTGCAACACGACATACACAAAACAAAAGGGATGATGGCGATGGGCTATCCGAGGATGAACTTGGCAAGGGGACTGTAGGAGATTCTGTAGAAAATCCCCCTGACTGGCCTCCACCGAATCTGTGTGGTCTCGCTGCTACTAACATCTCGTCGGGAACCATATACTCATTCTTATTTTCTTGGCCATTGCTTCCTATCTCGATGCTCAGGAACGTGAGTTATATGGCGATAACCCGACTCTGCATCCCCCACAGGATAGTAATTACACTTGACATGGGGGATTCAATGTCTCTGTTTTGGAGACTGCTTTGATAAGGCGCCGGCTTGATATGCAGCGTGCCCCTTCGGGCCTTCGGGTGGTGAACCGGACCACTGCTCGCACGTTTGTGCCTATATTCTACATACTCCTGGCCACTACACCGCTCTTGTTCGTGCCTCTGGTTCTTGGTAATTATGGAATGGTGGTGCTATGGTGCAAACTATTACTGCCATCTGTGAGCTCGTGCGTAATTAGCCTAACCTGCAACTGTTCCAGGTCATTGACCCTATGGGTACCTCATGTACTTCCATGCCCGCCTGTACGCCTATCTCTGTGTCTGCCTCCGTACCTATCTCTATGCCTGTTTTTGTGTCCGTCTCCTTCCAGATTACTGACTTTGTGGGTACTACCTGTACTTTTGTCCCCGCCTCTGCACCTGTCTTTGTGCCTGCCTCCACGCCTGTCTCCATGCCCGTTTCTGTGTCTGTCTCCGTGCCTACCTCCATGTCTGTCATTGTGCTTGCTTTAGTCTTCATTCCCCCACATGCTGCACTAACACCTTGTGACCTCCTTTGTGAGATCACTAACACAGTTACACTTGGTTGTGGAAAGCATCGACTTTGTCGACATCACTACAACCGTATAATTTTTCGGGCCCGATGTCGACAGGCATGCCATCTGTATCCGGATTGTGAACATCCTCTACATCCAGATGCAGTATGTCCCATCTGTGCCTGCGGGCCCTATAGTGAATGTGCACTTAACTGTGATGGTGAACACCCCACAATCGTCATGGCCTGCAACCGGCATGCCCTCTGTCGTGCATGCTTCAGAGGTATGGTTAATTCTAGCCGCCCTTGCTCCTGCTGTGACGAAKTTGCTTACCTGAATGGTTTTCGTCCTGTAGATCAGCGGGAGGGCTGCTACCATCGCCCGCATCCTTATGACAGTTGTCCTATCTGTCATGAGGGTCTTACTTACACGTACCTTGCACCCTGACAAAAATGTGCAGGTGCGCTGAAAAGAGTGTACAAGAATGTGCAAAGGTGGGGAACCCTTCACTAAAACTCCAAAACTGTGAAGAATGCAGTAAAAGAAGAATATAAGTCTGTGTCATCTTACTTTGTTTGTACCCTACACCCTAACACCCTCAAAAGAAAAGTCCGAAGGGTGAAAATGAAGATGAGAAATGAAGAAGGAAGTGCAGGTGCGCTGAAAAGCGAAGGTGGTAGACTCTTCACCAAAACTGCAAAACTGTGAAAGAAAGAAGAATGCAGTGAAAGAAAGAAGATGTTTGGGTCACTTTTTTTTGTTTTTTCTCCCTCTGCCTATCAGTTTTTCTTTTCTGCTCCTCTCTTCCTTGTGTTTAACACCTCTTCCTTCACTCTGCCTCTTTCCCATAGCGTGCAAGTGGGCTGTTATGGCATACGGGGATGGGGGCAGCTCGCGCTCAACTTCATCAACGTGGCGAGCCTTGTACGTTAGAGGCATAGTGGAGGAGGCGTTAAGAAGACTGAGAAACTGAATGATTTCAATGTGTCTTTGTTTTTTATTTTTATCCTTTGATTCAGTGTAATTTTTTATTTTGTTTTTGTAAAACACTGAAAGAAGTAATAATACTGTGAAACAAAGAATAAGAGGACACTGTTTGTGTCATTCTGGTTTGTCTGTCTCTTTGYCTGTCTGTCCTTTCATTTTTCTTTTCTTCGCTCATCTTATTTCTTCTTCTACTTCACGTGCTTACGCTCTTAGTCAATAGTTTTGTGACAATATATATATATGTATATCGTCAAATAGAACTGCCCGGTAAACCGTAGGCAGAGAGGGAGAAGAGGACAACAAACGAGGGGCTGTGACAAACTGTTTCGTCGGAGTTTCACCGAATATATCGTCACAAACAGAACTGCCCGCTATATATCGTCATATATCATTACATGTGCGAGGCACAAGGTCTCGGTAAGCCCTACAGGGCCCTGTTATCGGCAAGGTCGGCCGCCCTAAGTAAAGGCAGGCCCGACCTAGGCCTATTTTGGACTACCACACAACTGGGAAAAATTCAGGCAGATGCGCAGCGCCAGTTGGTTGAAAGCGCCCATGCCCAAGCTGCCTTTATCGTACGTAACTAAGGCAGGCCCTGCGCCAGATACGCAACACGGACCGAACACAGGCTGCGGGCAGTTGGGCACGGACAACCACCACAGGCCCTAGGCCTGATTCGTCTGGACTGAGGCTCAGCCTCTCGAGGCCTACCAGAAGCTTCTGGTCCAGGGCCCAGTGCAGCCTTGCAGCACGCAGCAGGCAGGCCACTTCCATTTAGGAAACGGCCTGCCTCCTGATTCGGCATTCGGGTACTGGCTGCATGCTGCGCAAATCGCTGGCCAGGCCCACACGCTCACGGGTGAGCAGGGAGAGCAGGCAGCCATAGCCGAGCTGCGCTGCGCTGAGCTGGATAGGGCGCAAGGTGGTCCTTGGGTGCATGTGGCATCTATGAGTGGGGGATCGAGGTTGTGAGTGATACGAGAGACATACCTGGTGCTTGAGGCGAACGGCATTGGCCGAGATCTGCTCGTACTTCGGGGAGCTGTTGACGTCACCAGTGGCATTGTAGAGATAGGATCTGCCATTTGTAGTCTGGGCGCAGAGCGCCAGATAGGATGTCCACATTGGTTCATTGTTGATGATGTTGATGATGATGAGACTATTCCAACATTGTCACTTGTGAGCTTTTGCTGTGCTCTTATTTGGTGGAACTCGTGTTGCAATTTCGCTTCTGGTTCGAGGTCACGACTATCTGGTCTCATGTGTATCATGCTGCTTGGTTTCTGAAGTTCACTATCGCTCATTTTCCTTGCACATGAATATCAGAGCGCAAAGGCGAAAAAAAACGGAAGAAAACAAGAAAAGTCTGAAAAACATAATTCGTTTTCTTATGTTCTTTCTTACAACTCCCCCTGTTCAGAACCTCTACGTACAAGGCCGCCCACGTGGATGTAGGTTGAGCGGCGGCTGCCCCCACCCCCGTGTGTCATATCGACCCACTTGCACACAGCCAAAGGGCAAAGAGGCAAAGAAAAGAGGAAGGGAACAGCCAAATACAACGAAACAGGAGGCAACAAGCAACAGCACCAAAAACGGATCCTCGATGACAAGTCCCACATGCAAGCACCGCCCCTCCTTCACAGGCCAAACGACGGGACAAGACCACCCAGGACAAAACTCTTGTCTGCAAAAAAGAGAAATCCCAGATTACATATCTATATACAGCAGATGGCCTTTTTCGTCATCAAGACGTTGGTATTCCCATTTGTAAACCGTTCTTACTGGGACAAAAAACATAAAAGACAATCCGAGATGACGATTCCCACATAAAAGCACCGCCCCCTCACCACAGGCCGAACAACGGGAAGCAACGAACTAGGATATATATCGTCAAACAGAGCTTTCCGGTAAACCGTAGGCAGAGATGGAGAACAGGAGAACAAACGAGGGGCTGTGACAAACTGTTTCGTGGTAGTTTATATATCGTCACAAAGATATCAGAGCGCAAAAGCAAGAAAAAGAAAGGAAACAAGAAAGATCCACTTGAACTCGTGTTTTCATCTTCTTATTTACAACTCCCCCTGTTCAGAACCTCTTGCGTACAAGGCCTCCCACGTGGATGTGGTTGACCGGCGGCTGGCAAAAACCCGTGTGTCATATCGACCCACTTGCACACAGCCAAAAGGCAAAGAGGCAAAGAAAGAGGAAGGGAACAGCCAAATATAACAAAACAGGGGTAACAACCATGACAGATCCTGGATGACATGTCCCACATGCAAGCACCGCCCCCTACATCACAAGCCATATTTATATTTCGTCACAAAGATATCAGAGTGCAAAAGCAAAAAAAAACAAAAGGAAACAAGAAAGATATCAATTCATTTGTTATCTTCTTACTTACAACTCCCCCTTTTCAGAACCTCTTTCGCATACACGCCGCCCACGTGGATGTTGTTGAGCGGCGGTTGCCCCCACCCCCGTGTGTCATATCCACCCACTTGCACAGCCAAAAGGCAAAGAGGCAAAGAAAGAGGAAGGGCCGCCCACGTGGATGTGGTTGAGCGGCCGTTGCCCCCACCCCCGTGTGTCATATCGACCCACTTGCACAGCCAAAAGGCAAAGCGGCAAAGAAAGAGGAAGGGCCGCCCACGTGGATGTGGTTGAGCGGCGGCTGCCCCCACCCCCGTGTGTCATATCTACCCACTTGCACGGCCAAAAGGCAAAGAGGCAAAGAAAGAGGAAGGGAACAATATATATAGGCTGCTCCCCCCCCCGTGTGTCATATCGACCCACTTGCACACAGCCAAAAGGCAAAGAGGCAAAGAAAGAGGAAGAGAACAGTATATATAGGGCGTCGCCGCACGGGACACAAATCGAAAAACGAAACGAGTGCATGTTCCTGCAGAAAATGGCCAGGTTCATCGGTTTGCTATAAATAGTAACGAGTGTATTTTGCCACCTTTCGTGGGCAGATGCAATCGTTTCATTTTCGTTTCGTGTGCTGTGCGGTGAGACCCATATTGTCACAAGCAGGGTCACCAGCCCGTACGTACGGAGGTCCCCGGGCCGACCTCCGTACGTACAGGCGTTCGGGGTCCCGTTCGGGGTCTGAACCCGAAGGTGTTTGGCCCCCGCCAAAAATTATTTCGGGGCCTAAAAAGAAGTTTTTTTTTCTGAATTTGTTTTTTGTGTGTTCTCTATGATGTGAGGTACATGCCTATAAGTTTTGAAGTTATGTTGCTGCACCAAACAAAAATTAAAGATCGCCAAAGACGGTGTTCTCAAAACGTGACTATTTTTTTTTTTTTTCACTTTTTACTTTTTGTTTTCACTTTATTCCGGGGCCTAAACAATTTTATTATATTTTGATTTTTTTTTCAGTGAGTTTTGCATTATGTGAAGTACACATCTGTAAATTTTCAGAGCATTTGGCTGTGCCCAAAAAAAAAGAAAAATCGCCAAAAGACGGCAGTGTCGAAAACGTTCTTGCTCACTCACTAATTTTAATTCTCTTTTCATTTTTTTCGTATTTTTATTATTAGTTTTATTTTCTGTTTTTAATTTTTATTTCAAATTCGGTAAGGAATTTGGATGTAATGCTCAGGCAAATGTTGTTTATTTTATTTCTCTTCATAACATATCTGTTTTTCAGATTTTTTGGAGATGTTTTTTTTTTTTTTTTTTTTTTTTTTTTTTTTTTTTTTTTTTTCGTCCACCTTTGGCCCGAACGGCCGAACGCATCCCCAAGGGGTCCCGTACGTCCCGTGCGTTCGGGCGTTCGGGTTTGGGCATTCGGGTTCGGGCAGTCGGTAACTACACAAGCGCATACATCAACATGCATCATCAGCAGCAAATATCGAAAGCAAAACGTCAGCCGTCAGCGGCCTATCAAAGAGAAATAGTGGGCAATCATATGTAATCAGCCTGGCCTATTTTACCAATCCGCAAATAAGCCTCAACAGCGATAGCAAACACATTCAATCCACAACATCAACGCCATTCAATAAACAAAGACCACGTGTCAAATTAGCACAAAAGGAAGAAAGGAAATAGGTAGAAGGAGGGAAGAGAGGAGAAGCAGATGGAAGATAAAGGAAGCAAAAGGGAGGAATAAGAGAGAAAGAGATAGATTGAGACGTCAGAGTCCCGAACGCGACTGAGCTCAGATTAAAAACGTGATAGCACAGCTCTTGATGTCCGAATGTAAGTAGGCATCACGCCTATCATCGTCAATCCCAAGATCGGACTACGGGGTATGACCCTACGTTTCATCCGGTCGCCGTACCGGAATCGTCAAGGGTCTTGTCACGAATGGTTGCGAACTGACTCGTCAACCTATCAATTTAAACAGGAGTGTTGACAACCGAACACACCAAGGATGGTAAGAACCAGAACCTTCTAAGACCCGCGAAGGAAACGCAGAATCATCTCAAGAACCTGGACAGAAGATAGCAGCAGGGCCTGGAAAGTCGAAAGGATCCAGTAGGTACCCGGACCCTAGTCTAATGCAACAATGACTGAGGTTCGAAGCCCCAGCCAGCTGAGTACGAATAGACCGAAGGTAGACCTGCCACAGAGTCACCTAGCACCGAAGGTTATGTGTTCAAGACACACCGGGCTCAAAGCAAACAGGAACCTAACAAGGGCCAGCCACTGAAATCGCAGGTTCGAGACCAGAGAAACCTTACCACACAGGAATTGTACGATCCCAAGAAAGGAACAGCGCGTTCCGTGATGAAGTCACAAGCTCGAGACCAGACAGAACAAAGAGCCCGTTCAATAAGAGAACTCAGAAAGAAGAGCCCCCTACTAGTTACTGAAGTCACGGGTTCGAGACCAGAGAAACCTTATCACACCACAATTGTGCGTTCTCAGGGAAGAAGTTACAGATTCGAGACCAGACAGAAAGAAGAGCTCGTTCAAATGAGGGAACTCATAAAAAAGAGCCCATTCAGTGAGAAAACTCAGAAATACCAGACTGCCCCCTACTCATGTAACGAGGGCCAATTACTGAACACGCAGGTTCGAGAAGGAAGAGCCCGTCCAATGAGAGAACTCAGAAAACCAAATACCGAAACTACAGAATGCCCCCTCGGGCAGTCGGCCTGTCCCGAACGCCTGATACCCTAACAGGTCACACATATATGGTCACAAAGATGTCAGAGCGCAAAAGCCAAAAAAACAAGAAAAAATCAATTCATTTTTTATCTTTTTACTTGCGTACTTAAAAAAAAACACTTGCGTACATAAAAAAACACTTGCAGTCGGCCTGTCCCGAACTCCCCCTGTTGAAAACCACTTGCGTACTTAAAAAAAAAAAACACTTGCGTACATATATCGTCACAAACAGAACTGCCCGGTAAACCGTAAGCAGAGAGAGAGAGGAGGACAACAAACGAGGGGCTGTGACAAACTGTTTCGTCGGAGTTTCACCGACTCATCATCCTTTTTCCACATCAGATTCTATCTTCCCTCTCTTTACCCCTTCTTTCTACTCCTTTCCTCAATATATTGTCACTGTATCTGACCTGAAAGATGGCTTGTATACCTTCGAAATCAGGGGTACTGAAACAGTTTTCACCTTTGGCAGTAGCCGATGCAGATCCCAGGGTTCGATCCCTTGACCTCAGCTTACCTGTGTACAGTATCTGCATAGTTCCCTGGAGTTGAACCCGTGACCTGCACGATAGCCAGTGGTAA